TAAGAAAGTTATGTCCAATTCAATTTACGGTCTCGCTACTTCTTCTTAAAGGGAGGGAAGTCATATGGTGGTGACTGAAGATCAGAGGTTTGGCTTTCCTATATTACCTTGCTCCTCTATAATCTTCTTTGTGACACAGTGAGAGGGCACTACTCTATACCTAGCTCTCTGCTAGGAGCACTGCATATATTTCTCCAATTAATTTATACAAAAACCCTTCCATAGTGAGGAAGCTGAGGTCCAGACAGGTAATAATAGCTAATGAGTATCATGGCCAGGGTTTGCATCTAGGACCATTTCCTGGGGGCATTTTCTATAAACAATTATTCGGACACATTTTTCAAGACCCATATTAGATGTTTCTTAAGCCGTAAGTGCCCAGGGCCAGTCTAGGTAGCTAGTTATATTAATTTACTTGGGGAGATGTGTTTGTGAGAATACCCTGGGGAATAGGGTGGAAATTGGAACATCTAGAAGAAAAAAAAAAAAGACAATGCTAGAGAAGAAGAGTTTCCAGATTTTAGACTGAAACCAGACTGGTCAGGGATCCAAGACAGTCCAAGGACAGTGGCGCAGGGGAGCTGCTGGGGTTTTGTTGAATGGAAGTCATTTCTTGGAGTCCCTGGTGGGTCTGACCCTTAAATGAGTCTTCTTTGCATAGTAGAAATTATGTGATATACAATATAATGAATAATATGCACGCCATAGGAGTTCTTGGCAAGGGATGCTCTAAAGGAGTAAAATTATGTAACATTTTCTATTGGATAGAATGTTGCAACTGGACTTAGAGTAGTTGTCAGGGAGGGGAACAACCTCAGAAAAGGAATGCATGAAGTTACCTTCATGCACTTCTTTAGGGAACTGCAGAGAAAGTGGCTTTTTAAAAAAAATTTTACACACACAAATATTTATATTTATATTTGGGGGATATTAGGGATTGAACTCAGGGGTACTCAACCACTGAGCCACATCCCATCCCTATTTTGTATTACATTTAGAGACAGGGTTTCACTGAGTTGCTTAGCACATCGCCACTGCTTAGGCTGAGTTTGAACTTGTGATCCTTGTGTCTCAGCCTCCTGAGCCGCTGGGATTACAGGCATGCACCACCACACCCAGCAATGTTTATATGTATACATTAAACAAGTAGAAGGAAGTAAATTTTGAGAAACAGATTGAAGCCAGACAAAGGAGGAATTTAAATGTCAGATGGAGGATTTGGGACTTGATGGTATAGGTAGTAAAGAATTATACTACTCTCTAGAAAATCATGTTCTGTGAAGATTATTCCAGAGGATTTCAATATGGTTCAAAGAGGGGACAGAGACTAGTTAGAAGCATGAAAAGCTAAGACTAAAGCTGAATATGGTGACTGACTTCCTACAAGGGACACATATTTTTAGCAGGGGAAGATACTATGTGCTAAGTTCCCTGCCTGTGCTCCTTCCCAGAATGTTTATTCTGTGTAGAGGGAGGAGGAGGTGAAGGTGAAAGCAATACACTTTCACTCTGATCCTGGCAGAGTGATCCAGAGTTTTTGTGGACCTGTAGATTATCATCTCAGTCAGGTGAGTGCCCCCTCCCTCCCCCCTCTCTCCTTCAGCTGATGACTCAGTTCTCAAACTTGCTTCCAACTTCTGAGAAATGAAGTCGTGGCTCAAGAAATTAAATAAGGGGGGGGGGGGAAGGAATTGTATGTGTGATCTAACTTGACCTTAGCCTTGCTGTGAACGGTCTGGTGCTCATTTGCATTTTCCTTCAAAGAAAGACCCAGGTAGCCAGGGGTAGCAAGTTTGTAGTTGTCATTCACAGTTCTTTGTCCAAGGCTCCTTAGAACACAGCAAAACTAGAACTTCACAAAGGACATTTGAGAAAGTGACCAAAGCAGAATTTGAATTATTATTCCCAATGAATGATCATAAAAACTTCACAAAGTGTTTTTAACTTTGGTAAACACTGCACTGTGAAACTTTCCTTTCTTTACAAGTCTACATTTTTGTTCAGTGTACCAGAGAGATGATTACATTTTTATTAAACCAAACTTCATTCAATAGTGCTCTGTACTAGAGAGATTATAATCTATGAAGAAGAAGAAAAAAACCCCACCTCATTGCATAGTTAAAGGAGAAGAGGCCACAAAGGGGCCATTAAAAGTATGGAAAGAAATGACCAGTAAAATTGTGCTTTCACTGTATAACCCTTTCCATTTATCATGTAAGAATTTATCAACAATTTCATCCTAGGGGAAAGGCTGATGAATCTCTTACATTCATGAGCTAACATCTGTGCTAAGAGCAGATGACATCAGCAATCCAGGAGACTTGGCAGGCAGGATCCCACGAAGGAAGACTCAGGAAAAATATTTCCATGGATCAGGACAGCACTTAGTATAAATCAAGTCTTGGCTATGATCTCTTAGCCTGGGCTTCCTGCTGAACTTTTGGAAATTAGCCTGTATTGTAATTAACACTCCTCCTGCAGTGAAGCAATACATGCTTCTCTCAGGCAGGAAAGAGATCTTTTTCAGTGGTGAGATTCTTGCAAATATGTACCATTTTCAAGTGATGATGGTTTGACTAACAATTTTTTGACTTGATGATGTGAAAGCAATGCACTCTCAGTAGAAATCATACTTTGAATTTTGAATTTGGATCTTTCATCAATCTTGGAGCATCTGTACCATGAAACTCTTTCTTTATTCCTTCCTATGGGACTGAGCAATTTAGAAAGCATGCATGATGTCTTGGCCCTTAGAGGCAACTGCTGGGGGCTCAGAATCTATTTCTACAACATGGAGGTGCTACTTTATTTTTAGATCAAAATGTGCAAATTTCTCTAGCAGACTCTCCAAAATGAATACAGATGTGCTCCTGTTGTCAGAAAATTCCATTATTCTGCATTATGAAATGTATTCTTCAATTTAAAAAATATTGCCCACATCTCTCCTTCTCAAACTGACAAGCACATTCCTAACTCTGTGTCTTCCAGTTCTGTTCCTCCTTGGTTCTCTGACTAGGTTGGTCTCTTCTGTCATGCACCTTCACAGCACTGTTCATTTGCTTTCTCATGCTCTTGACCTTTGCAATAGCTGCCCTCTGTCTAGCCTGCCAGATGATAAGCAGTGAGGGATAGAGACAGTGTCTGTCTTGTCCCTCCATACTCAACATCTGGCACAATGTCTGGCACCTATTGGGCTGTTCATAAATGCTTAAATAAATGTTTTCTTTTTAATTAATGGTTATCTTTAGTGCTTTTAAATTATAGTCAACTTTACCAAAAATTGATGTGTACACAAATATTGCAGAACTGTGAAATAATAGCTTTATCTGTCATTTGCATAGCACAGGGCAGTTTACAGGACCCTATTTTATCAATTATTTTATTTGATCTTCACAATCACATTGTGAGGTAAGTAGTGGCCATTGCCATCCCTATTTTAGACAGAAGAAACTGAAATTTAATGTCCAGCCAGCTCTCCTTCACAGTAGGTGACTGAGCAAGAATTCACTGTAGGGCCCATGCTATTCCTTGTCACCACACTGCCTGTGGCTTATAAGCCCTTTGATCAGGGGTTTCCCCATTTGCTCCAAGAAACCTGATCATACACTTTTAATTCAATTCATCTGCAATTGTGGGCAATATTCTTTCCTCCTAATCAGCTCCACCAAACAACTGGGACAAAAAGTTCAAACCAGAGTCCTAGAGACCATCTATCCTAGAATTCCATTCTGCTAAATGTACTTTTTCCACCTGCCCCACCCCTACCCTCAGATGTATTTTACCCCAGACCCATTTTCTGACCTTCCACCAGTGCCTGGCATACCAGCATAGAAAGGGCCTTCAATACACTCTGTGTTAAGGGTTCACACCAGCTCTCCATCACACAGGGAGCCAGAGGCGACCCTGAAGCAGTGTCAGCAAAAGGAGACCTCTTTTATAATAACTGTGGGCCATCAGGAGGTGTTGGTAGATGCATATCCTTTGATTACCACCAGTGTTGCCTAAACTCATCCTGTCACCTGTCTGTGTGACGTTGCTGTGTGCCAAAGCAGGTGTTACTGAAGTACAAGGTCTCATTGTTCCATTTGGTTCCACTTCAGTGAATAAGCAAGAGAGTCAGGAAGTGAGGGAAAAGCTTCTCCAGGCTCTTTTACTTGACACTCTGGATCCCAGCATGAGGAGCTGCTGGAACGTCATGGTCTTTGGGTATTTGAGTCATTCTCACACCCACCTGACGACACTGCCTTGCGTGTTCATTGTGGAGTTGCACAAGATTGACCCGGCCAGGAATGTTTGACTGACTGCCCCTTTCCGTCTCTACTGAAAGTTCTCCAGATGTACTCCTCACTCTCCATAATGGTCTTCATAACCTGTAGCTTCTAAATCACTGAAATACAGTAGAATCCTACAACAATGTAGGTTTTGTGTATCACCTGTCTTGTTGCTGTTGCTGCATGTTCTTATTATGCAGAATTATCTGTATGTAATATGCTGTGTATGCCAGGGGGCTTATATTGCCTATTTGCTTGAGAAAGGCTTAGATTAGTCTGTAATTTGCTAGTAATGCCAAGCATAGATTAAACTAGATAAAAACAATGTTTAATAACCATTCCTGTATTGATTACATTTAATGTATTGCACACACTTATAATTAGAACTCAGTTAAATGAAACCTACTCTCACAGGGTTCCATTCAGTACTCATTAACAAAGAATAATTAAATAAAATTACTTAGAATAATTGGATATGGAAAGCCAAGTTCGAAGGGGACCAACTTAAACACCACTTAGGCTGCCTTTTAAAGACTGTTAGTACTTTTCACAGTGAAAAAATTAGTGATTTTATAAATGCAGCATATCAGTCGCCTTAGTTTTAACCTTTCCTTTCTTCTCCCCCATTCTAGGAAACATAAACCAATACTCGTCCACATAAAGTATTTTGTTAGGGGCACAAAGGAAAATTCCCTGATAATGAACCCCACATTTCTTATGTGTTCATAGTAATAAAAGACTAGTGGCCTTAGTGCCCATGCCCAGTGACCCTCCGTTCAACACCCGAAGAGCCTACACCAGCGAGGATGAAGCCTGGAAGTCGTACCTGGAGAACCCCCTGACAGCGGCCACCAAGGCGATGATGAGCATCAATGGGGATGAGGACAGTGCTGCCGCCCTAGGCCTGCTCTACGACTACTACAAGGTGGGTTCTGCCCTCTTGCTTCCCCACTCTTCCTGCCTCCAGGGCTCCCCTGCTGATGGGAGGAGCAGGCCAGGGGACGCCTGTGGAATTCAGCCTCTTCTGTTCTCTTTGCCTCTTTGCGAACTCATCTGTGAAGCCCAACCTCACACCCACCAGAGGAAGTTTCCGTTTGGGGATAACTGTTTCTCATGTCCTTTGTGCACATTCAGAGGTATTCTGAAATATATTTCTTAACATCATATCACTCATACTTCCTTACTGGCATGTTTACTTTGTGGTTATGATTTTTGGTGAATAAAGCATGTTCAAAATTTAGCTATTGCTCAGTTCTCTGGTCACTAGGTTGCCTCTAGAGTTTTCAGTTTTATAGGGAATATTTTAGGGGATGACTTGCAGAAATTTCAGTCCTTACTGCCTCCATTTGTTTCAACAGGCACTAAACTTCTATTTTTTTTTTTTTTTTAGGCCAGGGGAAGGTTTCTACAACCTGTAAGGGGCAGAGTTGGGAAATTGGCAAATGCAGCAGGGTCCGGGCAACACAGCTTTATTCTCAGGCATACAGCAGGCGCTAGATAATTGCTTCTGCCAAGCATTGTTGCGCCAAAGGACGCAGCACGTAGCTCATCCTATTCGCGGATGTAGACGTGTAGGCGGGACAGTCCCTATGACGCTCTCGCCCTATGACGACATGGCATCCTCACAGGAGGAGGGTGTTCAAAAATATGGAATGCTTCACGAATTTGCGTGTCAGCCTTGCGCAGGGGCCATGCTAATCTTCTCTGTATGTTCCAATTTTAGTATATGTGCTGCCAAAGCGAGCACTAAACTTCTATTTTGAAAATTCTGAAAATGAAATAAATGCGACCTATAAATGCTTGCTTTATAGTACTTACAAAATAGAACATTTCAGGAAATCCCACAAGAAGAGACAGTCTGTCTTGAGGGACTATACCTGATATGACCTACTCTCTTAGCAATGTTGAAATGTAAATAAAATAAACAAAGTGTTTGCTGAAGGATGGGGATACATTGCCTGGATTTGACTGTGAACATCTTTGTTTTATGCTGGGAATTGGCACAAAGGTGAGCTGGCTGTGTTGCTCTTATCTGGGGATGAGAGCCCTCTCTCTGCATCATGGGACCAGCATCCTTGGACAATAACATCAGAAAGAGCAATTTCCCTTTTAGTGATCATCAGTCTCTGCTTCCTGTTGTCTGAGATGAAGAGCAAGGGTGAGTGACAGCTGTGAGGGATGGACAGGCCAGCCAACCAGGGTTTTTTAAATGAGGATATTATTAACTCTAATGAACACGTCATTGTTGCTGGGGAATGCTGAGAACGCTATGAAGCGCTTTTCATGGGTACCCTTGCTGGTCTAGGCAGACATCCCCTTTATCCAGTCCAGCAGAGTTGGCAGATGTTGTGGTCTTCTATGAAAGTGTGAAACTCCCAAGGTGACTCCTGACGTGGTGAGAAGGGCCTTAACATTAGGAAAAAGTGACTTTCAGATGCAAGGATGCTTTAGAGTCTAAACTACATTTCATCTCCTGACAATAAAGGAATAACTTAAACATAAAAAAAAAAATAAGCCTGAGAACCAAAATGGTTTCATGGTAGACTTTTCTTTCTTCTTTCCTGTTTGTGGTTGTTTCTTATTCTTTATCTTTTCTGATTAAAGATCTCATCTGAAAAGTACAAGGTTAAATTCTAAATATTTTGGAGTGAAAATTTTCAAAAATCCTTTTGGGGATCATTCGAAGCTCAGATCTCATAAAATCTGCTTCATGTCCTAGATCATTTGTTGTTTTAGTTTCATCCTTAGAAAGTAGTTTTCCCTAATGAGAGAAAAATAATCAAAACTTGACAGTTTTATTTAATTTTTAAAATCCATGGACACATCATTAAAGTGATTCTGATTTAATCATTCAGATAATTACATTTTTCTAACTTTTGTAATGTTGGTATTTCAGTTAATAGTTTACTATTTAAAAGAAATATATTGTTCTTATTTTATTCTGTCATTGTGAAATGAACATAGTTTTAGATGTCTATATGTGATGACAATTCTTTTAATCAGTGAAATAAAAAGACTTCCTTAAAATGTATTTTATTTCCCATAGGGTCAGAGAATAATCTAGTATTAGTAAATATTGATAATCAAGTATTATTAAATGTGGTACGTAGATTACCTCTCCTCTGACACAATTGCTGAGATTCAAAGGAAAGTAGAAATATTGTTTTCTGTCAATATTGTGTGACGTAGGATATGGAATACAATAAAACTCAAATTGTAGCCAAGTCTACAGCTCTTTGTACCGAATTAATATTTTCCAAGATCTGTTAGGGTTCTGGCTCCCTTCATTTCCCAGAAGATTTGCTTTCTTTTTGCTTGAAACATTTTAGTGCCTGTGAAAAGTTTTATTGGACTTGTTTCCAATGATCATTTTTGAGGCTTTGTCTGTTCTCTGGGATGCCCACAGTGTATGTATACTGGGTTTAGAGTTATAAAGTTAAACATCCTGGGATGATAGACCTTCCCCTATGGCAAAATGACATGTTAATGAAATAGGAGTGATTTCTCACTTTTTAAAAAATATAAACTGGGAAGTTAAATTAATGTTAACAATTACTGTCACATCATCATTTAAATTTTATCAACTTTTTATACCTCTTTTGAAGTTTGAAGGCTGAGGCAGGAGGTTCGCAAGTTCAAAGTCAGCCTCAGCAACTTAACAAGGCCTTAAATAACTCAGCAAGACCCTGACTCTAAATATAGTATAAAAAAGGGCTGGGAACGTGACTCAGTGGTTAAGCACCACTGGGTTCAATTCCCAATACCAAAAAAAAAAGAAAAAGACAAAAAGAAATAGTGCTCCCTGTCCTTGGAAATTGGCAAAGGCATGTCTTTGTATAGTACTTTATAGATCTCAAGTTTTGTTCACCTACATTTTTAACTGTCACCACAGGATCATTGCAGTGAAGCCCATCAGATTTTACATTTTATAGTTAGACAACTAAGTGGAATTTACCCACGGTCACAAGACAGTCCTGGGTTTCCTAATATCCATTTCATTACAGTGCCCACTATCTTAAAAATGCTTTTATTTGAGCCTATTTGTAAATAGTTCAAAATTTTAAAATATACATTTGAAGCTTGCTATGTTGTGTATACTAATTAAGTGGTATTTATTTAAAGAAAACTTATTGAATCTCTTATAATTTAGGGACTCAATTCCAGTGTAGCTCTCACTGCAGTTTAAGCTACTTACCAAGAGCAGCTCCAAAGTCAAGTGGAAACTTTCTAGAATTTCAGGCTTGACAGAAAAACATAACAGATTTAATTAGTTAGATATTTTTAAAAAGGAGTTGAATTTATGTCTTAGTCTGTTTTCTGTTGCTATAACTGAACACTACAGACTAGATAATTTATGGAGAGTTAAGGTTTATTTAACTCATAATTCTGGAGGGTGTGAAGTTCAAGGATATGAAACTGGCATTTGGTGAGGGAATTCTTACTGCATAATAACATGGTAAAGGATATCACATAGCATGACAGACTATGTATTCTAGCTCAGGACTCTCTTAGTCTTTTCATAAAGTCACAAATGTCACTATTGAGGCCCCATCCTCATAATCTACTCTGATCCTGATTACTTCCCAAATGTTCCACCTCCAAATCTCATTACCACGAATTTAGAGTTTAAGTTTCCAATAGGTGAACTTTTGGGGGATGCGTTCATACTGTAGCAATTTATTCTTACTTTAATTTTCCTTGAGAGTTTGTTATAATCTGGTTTGTTATAATCTGCCTGGTGAGTAGGTTCCTGTCTGTTCTGCTGACCTGGTAGTAGTGCTGGAAGTAGTTTGTTGGTTTGTTTATCCAACAAATATTCACAGTTTAGCTATGATCTTCTGACAGTAGTGATAGATATCATGAGGATTGGATATCCACCTCAGAGAAGCCACAGAGTCACAGGCCAGGATAAAATACCTATAAACCTGTAACCCACGCATGGAGTAAGTGCTGTGTTTAGGAGCAGTAAATTGACTGACAATTTTCCAGAGTCCACAGTCATACCAGAGGGAGCAATGCCGGCTCTGCTGCAGAATACAGGAGGTTGTCAGGTAGACAGATGAGGAGAGAACCTGTCAGATAAAGGGAACAGGAGACAGAAAACATGGGCTGTAAAATGCCAAATTGAACTCAGTGGAATCCAAGTAATGGTGCAGCTGAACAGGGGAGGGAACTGAGGTCAGTCACAAAGGCGGCAGCTCTGTTTTGAAGAGCCTTGCCAGGGCAGGCTGGAGGGCAGGGGTGGGCCAGGGTTGGGTGCATGGTCTTGCTTTTTGCAAAATAAATGAATGAATGATAAATATTTATAAGCTATTGAGAATTATTTTAAAAAATCAGCTTTTCTACTTTTCTTTTTTTCTAGCCTCCTTGAGGAATAATTGACAAATAGAAATTATATATATTTAAGGCCAACAACTTGATGTTTTGGTATATCAGCTTTTCATTTAAGTTTGTGCAAATCCATATGGACAAGGAAGAAAAGCTTACAGAAGAAAATGAAAAGTTTATAATCCTTGTGTTATAACATTTGACTTAAATTCCCTCCAATTCCAAAGGATTTTGAGCTCAGGTATCATAGACGGGAGATATTATCCACACATATTATAGCAGCAACAGCAGAGAGGTGGATTGAGGGGAGAGAGTTCAAAAAGCAGTCCATTGCATTAGTTCAGATGAAAAATACTGACCTAAAAGATGAGTTTGGGGGAGGGGAGTTCCCTGGATCAGCATTTGTGAGTGTTTTTCCTAAATCATCCATTCAAACAGGCACTACAGAGAGACAAAGCAATATATTCAAGAAATTATTAAGTATTCATTTGAATAAAAACTGGCAACTGATTGTGTGTGAGAGAGACAGTTGCTGGGGGGAGCTCAGAACTAAGAGCAAGATGCCTAGATGAGTCTGGGGTGATTAAGAGTTTGAGGAGCTTGTAGGAAGTCCAGGTGAGATATAGTAAATGTGGATCTAGTGCTCAAGAGAGGGGACAGAGTTCAGAGGTCTCAGTTTCTCTGAAAACAGTCTGCAAAGCCCAAGGTGATCATGGTTCAGAGAGGCCTGGATTGCAGCAAAGCCAAATAATCAGCAAACAGTAATCATCTCTATGGCTTTTGCTCAACACTGTAGAATGAGCACAGCTGTCTGCCCAGAGCTCATCCTAGTGGCTCTGGGCAACAGTAACATTCCCTTCCATGCGTCTTTGGAGTGAGTTTGGAATCCCCATTTTTTTTTTTCTATTTCTTCGGTTCTGCCCTCCCTAGGCCATTGGAATTGATGAATTCATTCTTGCAGTAAGTATTCTGAGAGGACCTACTATATCCTAGGCACTTAGGACATTACTACACAGGATAGGTACTCATGGAGATTGTGGTCTTCTCATGGATACAGAAATTCAAATGGGACTTGAGGTCTAGTCAGGACTATAAACCTGGAAAAGGTGTGGAGGTGGGGAGTGGGTTGTGTTCCAAGCTGAGCCAACTTTGTGTGAGGGCTCTGTTTTGAGAAGGAGCTTTGCATGGTCATCGATACCCTGTGGCTCAAGTGTGATAGGGAGCAACTGGGCTGCTAGTGCTGAGATGAGAGGCTTTTTGGAGGTCATGTTCCTGAGAGTACGAGAGAGTTTTAAGTAGCAGCATGAGAAAATCAGACTTGCATTTTTATGAAGACCACTTGGATGCAGAAAGGAATTGTGGGAATTGAGTGAAGAAGAGGAGAGATTCAGAAGACGGTTGCAGCCCAGGCAAGAGGCACTGGGGGCTGAGTCTAGAGGGTGGATTTTAGACACAGCGTATTTCATGCCACCTGGTTGGTAGGGAATGATTCAAACAAGAGAACGTGTTTATGCCATAACCCAGAACCTATGGAAGGAACCATAATGAAGTAAAACATCTGTCCTGGTGCAAGGCCCTTCCTCACTTGGCTTTCACTCATCTCTGAAGAAACCTCTCCCACTTATACATTTCTTGCTCTGATGATGACTTCCTTATTCTCTTATATCCTGGAGTTTTATAGAAGCAGTTCCCATAGCTAGAAAGCCTTCTCCATCTACCCAATAAATTCTCTCCCAATCTCAGTGATGCTGAAGGTGTGTCCTCTAGGTTTCCAGAGCACCCTGCACATAGCTCAGTTTTACATCAAATCTCTGAGGACTGGATTTTTTAAAAACACTATTAGGGAACACTACATATGTGTAGAGAAGCCAGGTGCTTCCTGGTGGGGATGAGCTGTGTGGTGAACCAGGACACAGCCGCAGGAAATCTGGGGAGACGGGGTCTTCTCCTTAAATACTGTTTTCCCCCTACCACCTTAAAAGAACACATTCTGGTAAAATATGCATGACATAAAATTTAGTCATTATTAAGTGCACGGTTCAGTGGCACTAAGTAAGTTATGTGAACATTTCCACCATTCATCTCTAGGACTTTCTCATCTTCCCAAGCTGAAACTCTGTACCCATTCACCACTAACTCCTCATTCTCCCCCACCCGACCCCTAGGGATTTCTATTCTGACTTCTGTCCCTTTGACCTATTCTAGGTGCCTCAAATAAATGGAGTCATACAACATTTGTCCTTTTGTGTCTTAGTTTATTAGCATAATATCGTCAAGTTTCATCCATAGTATAGCATAATTGCCATAATTATAGCAGAATTTCATTCCTTGTTAAGTCCAAATAATATTACTATGTATGATATACCACATTTTGTTTACCCATTCATCTGTTGATATATACTTGGGTTGTCTCCTTTGGGTTATCATGAATAAAGCTGCAATGAACATTGGTGTACTAGGTATTGAAATTTTATGATCTGTCCTCTTCAATACATGACAGGAACCATGTTTTATTCATGCCATTTCTATCTAATACTTAACAATGCCTGGTACATTGTAGACTCCCCAAATTAACATAAAGGACTTACAATTGATTTATTTTACTTTAACAAATACCTATAAAGCACCGGACCTTCTAAATGCTTTTAAAAATTTATCTCATTTAATTTTACTAAAAGCCTACGAGGTACGGGATGATCATTAAGCTCAGTTTACAGAGATGAGGAAAGCTGAGTTTAGTCAGAGTCAAGCCCAGGCAATCAGGCTTTAGGTTTTGACCCTTGGTGACCTTGCTGTCACCTCCCTAGTCCAGCTACCTGGGCTTGCATACATATCTGGGCCATAGGAATTATTCAAAGAGTCCAGTGGAAGAATGCTTCTCGTCAATGTGTTTATATCTTAAGATGTGAGGCTGCATTTGGATGCAAAGGAGATTGGTTAAAAGAAAATCTGAAGATGTATTGAAAATCCAAAGACAAACAGGTAAAAAAAATAAAAATAAAACAAAACAACCAAACAAATCCCAATCTACTTACTCATGTGTTTGGAAACGATGGCCAAGCAGAGGATCCATGATACAGCAGGGAGATGATGGTTGGAGAACTGCTGGTGGGGTGTCCTCCTAACACCTTTTCAGTAACACTTCAGGTAACACGTTGGCATTAGGGTTAAGATGATAATGAAAGTGCACTGGAAAAAGAAATTGTGGAGTCAAGTTCCCAAGCTGTGTAGGGAGGGTGGTTAATGGGTGGCATATTAGCTGCTTGTTCCCAGACTGGCTGAGAGTGTGGTCCCCTCCTCAATCCCCCTGCTCTTGTTGGCACCTGATGTCCCTTATCAGAGGGATAGTCTTTGCTCCTTAACAAGATGCTTTCTGTAACTCCATGATGCTTTCTATCTGCTCAAAGGCACCCATGTCCTGACTCAACCATAGAAGTTGCTCCTCTCCAAAAGTGGGGAGGGCATGGAGGTATCAGGGCCAGGGACAAGGTCATCAAAATCATGTCTGTTGTGACCTTATGTTTATCACCACCCCCTTTTATTCTGGGTCCACTGTCATTGTCACTCAAGCTCCTCACTCTTTAACATCTCCTGACAGTAACAGATTTGCCATTTCTTCCCAGAGAATGTTCCATTGTGATTTCTGTGTTTACACTGCTGTCTGGTTCTGCACACGGTCACTGTTGCCTGCGTGTCAGTCTGATTGATTGATCATGTTTCCAGGTTCCTCGAGACAAGAGGTTGCTGTCTGTCAACAAAGCAAGTGACAACCAAGAAGACCAGGATAAAAGGTATGATGGGTGTAAAGGAATCTACTGGACCCCCAGAGTATCTCCTTTTCTACATTTTTTTGAAAAAAGTAGCAGTCAACTAATGAAATTTTGTTCTTGAGAGATGATGTGTTCAAAAAGCTTTGCCCTCCTCTGCCTGTTGGAGTTTGGACCCAAACTGAATCTCTCAATAGGGAGAGAAAATTCCATTGTTTTATTATGCATCCAGAAGGTCATCAGCAAGCTTTTCCGATGAGGAGCCTGCCAAGGAGGCTTAGAAGCCTGAGAATAGGCTGGCAAGGGAACCGACTGCTGGGGTAAACATTTCCGACCAGTACCATGGCTCCACCACTGCGCCAGGCCTGGAGGGAGGAGACACGGAAGGATCAGGATCAAGGATTCCTCTTCCTAAGGGAGGTGATAGGGCTCCTTCTTAGCCGAGGGAGGCAGCTGGTGGAGGGCCAGGATCTGTGTGAGTGCTCTTTAGGTGCAAAGGTGGGAAAGCCATTAGGAGATCATTGTGTCACCCCCCTGTGCACACACACCTTTCTGCCCCTTTTAATTAAGAGCCAGTAACAACCAGGACACAGATAAATTGATATTTAAAAGGGGGAAAAATGCCACCAATTTTATGTCTAATGAAACCAATTGGAGAATGTGACTTGAAATCTGTAGCCCATAAATCTTCAGTCTTGACTTAGGTGATTTAAGGTAGAACGTCATACCACTGTCATACAGCAGGGTGCTGTCTTTTGGTTCAGGATGATCCAAACAAAAGGAGGGGACCACCTTTCAGCTACTTCCCTTCAAGTCATCTACTTTTCCTCTGCAGTGGGATGGAGAGAAATCACAGGGGTTTTCTCTAGAAGTTTATATCACATGGAAATATGAAGCCAGGAAAAATAAAATCTCCAGCCAGTGTCTATGTCAGAAATGTACCTGTCCTGGATAGAAACTGCTATGACATTATGATCTTTTTTTTTTTTTGCCTACTAGCAGAGGTCACTCTGCTTCCTAGCATCCCTGGGCTCTGCAGCCCCTGTATATAACCCACCCCAGCAGATCACACTGTCTGTGCCTCATTCACTGTTCCACTAGGGACTTTCTGAAACTATCCTGGGGTCTCAGGACCTCACCCTTCAGGTCTTGTGACATTTCCTCCATACAGCCAGTCTTATTGAGCTAATGGCTTGTGCTGTCTGCTAAGCCTAGGCCAATAATCACAATGGAGTCAGGGCACAATGAGCCTAGGCAGTGTGCTCTGTCTGCATGATACATCAGAGGCAAGAGAAGCCATTTTTTATTAAGGCATATTTTAGAACAATATTTCAAAGTGACAGCACTCGTTGTATTTCAGCAATTATTTTTGTGATTTCCATGAAGCACCTTAAAAAAAAAACCTGGCTAGGAGGTAGAGTAAAGCACCTTGTATAGAATAATTATGACTTAGCAGACTTCTCACTGAATCTAATTTGGAAGGATATCATTTTGATCTGCTATGTGTTCATGAATTAAGGTGCCATGTGCTAACATGATATCATTACAACTGTTTGTATACAGAAGTTACTACTTGGGGAAAATAACAGACTCTCAATGACACAATCCATTTTTTTTATAAAGTGTATTCAGCGCACCATTCTTTGTATGGCAATTTTTTCTTACAATATAGTTCAATTCTAAGTTCTATTGCAGGTAAGCCAGTATCCCACAATAATTCTTCTTTTGTTCTAATTTCCCATTTCTTGGATGTCTTTCTAAAATTCTCTGGCATCAGCTTCTGAAGTTAATTTTATGACAGAGGCATAGTCACATATCATAGTGTGGTGTCTGAGTCGATTATTTCCTGGTGATATGGTAATAACAATTCAGCTAGATTTATACAACTCTATAGTTTGCTTATTTATGTGTTAATAAGAACACCAGAGGATATTTGGACTTGTGCTCTTTGTTTAAAATTAATGCTTTACATAAAATAAAGAACTGAACAATCTGGCCTGAAATAGACTATAGACAAGCTTGAATATTCTGGCAAAGTCAAAAAATGTGCCTGTGTGAAGTCCAGAGTGGAAAGTGGGTAATTGCCTTGGCAACCAATCAGGGTAGACAAACCCATTATTACTCAATCTGCAGAACCTTATCCACAGAATTTTTTTTTTTCTCCACCAGAGGGGTTTGGTAAATTCTAGGTTCCAATTTAACTAGTGAAGGAATGACCAGGGGCCCTTACTGTGTTCATGATGTTGAGGCCCACTCAGGGTGGTCTTGTTATGGCAATACTTTTTTCTGTTTTTTTTTTTTTAACACTGATTTTATCATGAGGTTTCTTTTTTAAAAGAACAACCATTAACATTCCATGCAATGTTCTAAACAACGGGGCTTAGGAGGTGCTGATGTAAATGGGTGGTCTGGCTTTTGGCATTATCCTCCTAACTGGATTCAGATGAAACATAATTTCTAAATCTTCACTGTGTCTTATATGTGATTCACTCCATTGATTCTACCATGAAATCGGGTTAATGCTGAAAGCCAGAATGTCTGTATGAGTTCCTAGAATTATTATTATTGTTTCCATAGAACTGTGACAGACTCAGAGATGTTTAGCTATTTTTCTGTTGGCTTTGTTCACGGGGAACCTTTCTTTCTTCAAACTTCGCTTTGAAGTTTTATCTGAAAATTCAAAGCTAAAAACACCCATGTCTTGCTTGATAGGTGAGCTCAGAGGCTATTGGACTTCTTCTGATAGAAAGGAGCCACAAGAGCCCAACTTTTGGAAGACAAAATTTTATTCAAATATTTCACTCAATGAGAGATGCTAATCAGCCCCAGAAATTTCATGCTATATAAAAAACAAACAAATTAAAAAAAAAAACAAACATCCCAGATTATTTAAGACAAAGATTCATGGAAAATGTGTATTTATCTCCATAATATGGAGAATAATCATAAATGAATAAAAGTGCTCCTCTTCCAATTTTACAGAACAGAGGGATCTTGCTAGTAAAATCAATAATTATCTTCCATTTATATGTTCCTCTTTGCTTCTGCTCGTTCCTGGAATTCTTTGGTCTAAATAAAAGTATTTCATTCTAACCTGCCAAGAATTAATTTTCTAAACCCACTCCTTTCTCTCTACCTGCCAAGAGGTCAGAGATCTTGTTATCCATAAGCTCAGTTATAGCACTTTTTTTTTTTTTGGGGTACCGTGGATTGAACTCAGGAGCACTTGACCACTGAGCCACATCCCAGCCCTATTTTGTATTTTATTTAGAGACAGAGTCTCACTTAGTGCCTTACTTTTGCTGAGGCTGGCTTTGAACTCAGGATCCTCCTATCTCAGCCTCTGAAGCCACTTGGATTACAGGTGTGCCCACCACTTCCTGCCCAGTCATAGCACTTCCTTAAGATCCAAAAGTACCTCAGTGCTAACAATGTCTATCTATGTACTCAAGCTATTTCTCAATTTGGGAAAGATACTTTAATGATAAATTCTTATTTCTTTTTTCCTTTAAGAAATTTAACCCACAGAATGGTGAAAAATATCCCTCCTTCCACTCTTCAAATTACCATGCTTATCCTGTTGTGTTTCTCTCTTTCTCTTAAAAACTTTTGAGAGTTTGCAACCACATACAGAAGTGCAAAGGACAGTACAATGTCCTCCTCAAATGCTCATTGCATCTTCCAATTCATACTGATAAATTCTCATCACACCACCTTGATATCCACAATTTCCCTCTTACTCTTTCTTCCTTCATTTTAATCCTGACACCACCGTCTTTTTACTTCTAACCTCTAAAAACAATATTTTATTACATAAACACAAAATCATTATCACAACCAACTAAGTTAATGCTACTTCCTTAAGTTCCTAGTCCATAGTCAATTTCCTCAAAAAGTCTCCTACTATCTCTTCAATTTGTTCAAGTCAGGGTCCAAACATGATCCACTCATCCACTCATCATACTTGATTATTAGGGTTTTTAAATAATTTTTGATTTAAAACTGTCCTCCTTCCTCTGTTTTTGTTTGTTTGTTTTTTGTGCCTTTGACTTGTTGACAAATTTACGTCAGTCAGGTGTGCTACATTCTGGTTTGTTTCTTTTTGTTTTTTAAATATTTCTTCCAGTTCCTGTATTCCCAAGAGCTGAAAGTTAGGTCTAAAGGCATGATCAGATTTAGGGTCAACTCTTTTTTTTTTTTTTTTTTGAACAGTGATGCTCTATGGTGGCACTGAGTAGTTGACATTGGGAGATACCAGGGACATGCATGGCTTGTTGTCCTGCTTCTGGTGATGCAAAAATTCCTTTGCATTCTGTTGTGAGGTTCCCTGTTAACTTTCCCCTGCGTGGCTGCCCTCATCGGGTATTTCTTGCGAGTGGCAAAGTGGTGACTTTTCTAATTGTATGACATTGCGGGGGTGGGTTTGTACACACAGAAACTGTCTTGGCGCCAGTGAAGCCCAGAGTAATTTGAGTGGAGGAGAAAACCGCGTGCAGGTCCTAAAGACGGTTCCGGTGAACCTTTCCCTAAATCAAGAGCACCTGGAGAATTCAAAGCGGGAACAGTACAGCGTCAACCTCACCGAGAGCCCCGCCATCATCCCGGTGTCAGGGATCACCGTGGTCAAAGCTGAAGATTTCACGCCCGTGTTCATGACCCAACCTGGGCACTACACCCGGGGAGACGGGGAGGAGCAGCGCGTGGTTATCTTTGAACAGACTCAGTACGACCTGCCCTCCATCGCCAGCCACAGCACCTATCTCAAGGACGACCAGCGCAGCACCCCGGACAGCACCTACAGCGAGGGCTTCAAAGAGGGCACCGCGGAGGTGAGCCAGGGCTGAGCTCCGCTGAGCTCTCTCTTCTCTTTTTAAGTGGATTAAATGAATGGAAATGTGAGTTTAGGTGTTTTTATGTGTTCGTTGGTATTCTGGAATTTTCTCTAGGTGAATGGATGTGTGTAGAACATTGCAAATTTTTGGCAAGTCTTAAATGACAGATCCTTTTAGCTTTGGTCTAAAGATTAAATATTTTTGAGGCATTAAAAAATATTCTTCCCAAGTGTAGTGGTGTACATTTGTAATCCCTGTGGCTCCAGAGGCTGAGGCAGGAGGAGCACAAGTTCAAAGCCAGCCTCAGCAACTTAGCAAGGC